GAGAGAGAGAGAGAGAGAGACCTTGCCGGTGGACCGACCCTAAACCTCGAGCCTAACCCGTAGCTCTACGCGGTTTAGCGCTCAAGGCTGATCCCGGACTCCCAAAGACGATCCTCAGCGCATGATCGATATGCAGGATGTTGTAAACCCGCAGAGGCTTTCGGTGTTCACTACCCCTATAGGGGTCCAAGTGCTTTTGGTACAATCAGCCATTCAGAGGATAGCTTTTGAGCCTGAAAACCCTAGTATGTTGGCTGGGCCGAAGGTGGAAGCCTCAAACCGGCCGAAAATTGTAGGCTTGGGGTTCAACTAACAAGGAGTTTGAGGGTTTCAGGGTTTGGGCTTAAGGGCCGCAGGATTTTTGGGCTTTAGGGTTTAGGGCTTCGAGGCTCAATGTGACTACCATGTCGGAAAAAGAAGCTGTATCCAGAACCTGAAAGACAAGCCTAACAACCCAAAATGCCCAGTTCCCCGTAGACTAGCTCCGTGTCCATAGATGGCCGTAGCAAAAGAAATCTAGGCATCCTAACCCGCTCAAAGATCTAAACAATGGCAGCGCTTTAACGACAACCTATCTCAACCCAATAAGTAGAGACCATCTAAACGCCTGGACATTAACTTCTACAGGTGATAACGTCACTGCAAAGGTGGTGGATGTCGATAGATTCCATTTAGGTGTTTTGGAGTTCTGTGTGATAAACCTACAAACCACTGGTATAGCGGCCTTGCTGGAAGATTAAGATGGGGCTTTGGGGGTATGTTCTACCACGATCATACTAATAATACTAGTGAAAACCCTTTGGACAAATATCTATCTATCTATCTATCTATCTATCTATCTATCTATATATATATATACATACAATATTCTTCCCACTATCCGATGTCCAGAGCTGAAGCTTGAAACTGAGGGGCTGCACCGGGGCGAAAACGTCGCCAAAGAAACGAGCCTTGGTGTGGCTGTCTGCATTCAGGAACCCGTCCAGGGTTCGAATATGTCAAACCGACGGAATCTCTAGCGCCTAGCAGTTTGGTGCTGTGTTAACTGTTAAGCGGCACCCTGATCAACAGGAACATCCACATCCACGACTCTCCATCATTCGAACCATCGTCAGTAATTAGGCTCTTGCAATCTGCACCGACAGAATAGGAAAACAAGTTCAAACTTCAGCAATGCAGAGTTTGTTGGCCCCTGATCAAGATCTCCAAGCGGCAGGACCGAACGAATTTGGCATCAGCACGCAACAAGCGCTTTGGGAGCTCGACCCATGTAGCCTTCAGTCGCAGGGTGCGGATGAAGAGCGACAGCGGATGAAAAGCGACAGAAGTAGGATTACCGTAGGGAGCGGGAAGGACATGAACATGAGGCTGTTGTGCTTCGGTTTTGCTGAGCTGATCCGGAATGCCCACAGCGCTGACCTGTCAGTTCGGGCGGCAGAGGCATTCAGGGCTTCGCGTCGGATCCTAAAGCAAAACCCGGAAACTCCTCTCTCATTGATCTGGGTTTAGGGTTTAGGAGTCGACCAAGTATGAACCGCTAGACCGTGAGAGTACTTGGGTGATACATGTAGCAGTGAGAATCAAAAACTGTCGACTTCCTGTGTACACCGTCGGCTGCCCCAAACCCTAAACCCTACACCCTAAACCCTAAACCCTACACCCTAAACCCTAAACCCTAGACCCTAAACCCTAAACCCCAGATCAGACTCCGAGGCACCCGAATGCAAAGGGCGACGAAGAACAGCGGCATCAAGGCTGCCAGTCCGCCGATGATGCTCATCTGTAGATGTTCGTCCTGCAGAGCCACGGTTAGGGGCTCAGGGTTTAGGGTTTAGGGGTTGAGGGTTTAGGGGTTGAGGGTTCAGGGGTTTAGGGCTTAATTAAGGGTTTAGGGGGTTTAGGGTCTAG